TATCTAAAAATTATATATAATATATGGCCGAATAAAAAAAAAAGAATATTGTAAGAAAAAGAGAAAAAATATGACAATTAATTCGTTATGAATGATAGTTCAACCACTGGTCCCAACTGAAATAGATGTACTGGTCCAAAAATAACCAAAACGTTCGTGCTATGAAAAAATATTCAGGCTAATAAAAAAACCCCATAAAGTTTCAATATCATATCGAGGAAATTGTTTAGATTTGATGTTACTAGAAATGTCCTATACCTTGGCGTAAGCAACCGTCTTGGCTCGTTTTGGAACCACTACTTTAGAAACTTGAACACACTTTACAGAAGCCAAATTCTAATTTCATCACGAAAAAATAGACTAAAATTCTAATTTGACTTAGACTACAAAACATGATGACTGTTGTTGTACAAACTAAGCGATTAATAAGTCAACTTTAAATCGTCGGTCAAATAAAACATTTTGTCAACCAAAATAACAACAATTATTTAAAGAACAAAAAAAAGATGACTAAGAAACTAGTCACACGGTCATTATTTTTCATCGACACATAGATAACTTTGTCAACTATCTAAGTTGACACTATCCAAAATAATTACGATTTTTTAGTTATGACTTTGTTGTCAATTAAGCGAATAAGTGACAACTACAACTTAATTAATTTCTTCGTCGATGTGATGACAAAACACTCTATTTCGACCATAATTAAAACTCGAGAGAACATGATTTTACTAAATTACAATTACAGTGATCTTATTCATGTATTTAATTGTAAAAGAATATGTACTAGATGGCCAAAATTTTGGTCAGACTAAATAAAAATGACGGATGAAAACAGAAAATTGCATTCAATAACCATAAAAAAATTATAGTAAAATTCATAACCATTTAACTTAAATTTAATGTTTAATATTTTGTCACATATATATGCTCATTTTTGTTATTTTTTTACTATTATTTATTTTGGTTATTTTTGTAATTCACGCGATGAAAGCATCATAAATAAACATGTATACTTATAACAACTTTAACAAAAAAAAATGTATACTTATAACATAATTTTCTTAGTAAATAATAATGGTTAATATTTTTCACATGTTTAAAATATTTTTTATATTATTTTATTTACTATCACGTTATTATACTATTCTTGTTCGTTTAAATCACTCCTAAAAATACATCGTTTATTTACTTCTTTTTTTTTGAAAAATATTTACAGTTTTGTTGTCAATTTTGACAAACTTTCAGTTATCTAAAAAATAAATCCCGACTTTAATCAAAATTTTAATTTTCAGTTAATGATCAATTTGTAAATGTAAAATAATTCATATATTTAGTTGTCATTTTCTTTGTCGGACGTGGAAACGTATAGTACCGTGATTTGAGAAGAGGAAAAAATAAAGAAATGAGTCTACAAAACAAAAGTCATAGAGATTATTGGTCAAAATGATCCTTTAGTTGTTTTTGATTTTGACTGGAAAAATCTATGTGGAATGTTACACAACTTACAATAGTCTTTGAGGCTGCCCAAATCGCATTTGATTGCACGACACTCGTGTGGTCCAATTGTCTGCCACTATCATAAATACTGATTCTAGCTTTCATGCAATACGATTTTGAGCCATATAATATTCCATAACATATACTAAAAATGTATTTTTAAAAAGGGAAATCTATAAAATTATTTGCTTAAACCAAAAGCTTAACACTTTTCATTTTTAGGTTTTTGTAAGCTGTCAAGTGAACAGCATTACATCGTTAATGAAACATTAAAAGAATATTATGTACATGGAAAAACAAGTGAATAGAATTGAAACATCAATACGTGTTTGGTTCATTATTGAAGAAAAGGCGGAGATCTCTCAACCTTCTCCAATGAATGACTTCTCTTTTAAAAAACTGTAGATTATCTTTTCAAAATTTTTTTTTTTCATGTAAAGACTCATATAATTAGTTTTTTAAAATCAGAATTAAGAACTGCCCTACAATTTATGTTCAATAAACGGGGCACACTTCGACTGTTCCAACCTTTAATTCTTGTTTATGCCGACATGATGTTTGCAACAGGAATACCATCAATATTAGCAAAGTACTCTTAAGTTTCCTCAAGTGTTATCGATAATACATGGAAAAATATACTAGTACATTTTTAATATACAACATATCCATAATATATACCATACTTAGGGCCTGACTGGTTTAGCCCCATCAG